TAGGGATGACAGTCTATCGGTTCGCTAGCTATAAGTGGACATACACACATTATCATGTCAAATATTGTTTTATATTGGAATGCCTCAAGAATAAGCAGTCTTATGAAGAAACAGAAATCCCTTTAATACAAAAACACAGAGTCTTGATTATGTGATATTTGAACAATTTGGAACATGCAACTCAGCAAGGCACGTGACAACCACAGCCAATATACAGTCATGCTGGAACACATTGAATGAGAGCAACAAAAATATTTTAAATATTGATGACAAAAGATGTATTTATTAGTATAGTTAAGTGTCAGACTACTGTTCTTTCTCAGAATTAACAGGATGCTATTGAAAGTTAGTGGGTTACAACAAATCAGCATAAGGCTTAAGCTATAAACTACGTGCTTTAGTAAACACACAACAATATGTGCACAGACTAACAATATTGTGTTACTTAAAAGTTGTATTTCACTTAATGAATGAGAAAAGTATTAATCATAATGAAATATAATAATTACAAATAAAAGGTAAATAAAAGTAATTTTAAACTTTTAAAAAAATGATAAAGTATTCGTAAGTTAAAATCATATGAAGACGAAGAGTTGATTTAAGCCGTTTGATTGAATAGTATCTAATTTATGAATTAGTCTGTTTTCCAGATGTTTCATTTTGATAATGTCTGAAGGTACATCGTTGAGTCCCACTACAAGAAAATCACCGATGTCATGTTTTGGACTTCTGAAGTGGCATCTCAAGAATGGCCTTCGTTTTGTCTTTTTATGTCACTCGCATGTTTAAGGGTTATGTCCCTGAGGCGTCGGTCTGTTTATTCCCAACATTTGCAAATTACGCAGTAAATGAGGTAGCAAGATATACGACTGAAAGACTGTCTTAGACAGGTAATGAACTTAGATCCTCGTGCTTGGATCGTATTTTTAACATAATCAGAAGTGACTAATTTAGTCATTCTAATCTCGGGTACCAAGTGGGTTCCGAGTATGGTTACCAGGTGCTATTGTGCTATGTACCAAAAGGTGTTAGGATATTAGTATCAGGTCTGTAAGATATTAAACAAAGTGTAGTGTTTCATAACAGGTTATAATCCACGGACACAAAGGTCATTGACAAATGCTGTTCAAGTGTCATAGATAATCATAATCATGAAGGACCTACGTTTGGAAGAGCTACACAAGTTCCTTCCACGACATATCCGCTCAAGACGCATACCTCAAACACGTTTATACCAGAATAATAAATGAAATTATAATGAAAGTAAACGTAGTATGGTATTGTGGACCAAGTTATTCAATACTTGGAAGAAGTTGCCTTAGGAAAGAATTAAAGAAGAGAACATTGTTAAATTGAGATATTTAAATCCTTATGGCATGAATAAACTATTTAATTTATTATAGATTTATCATCACTTTTTTTACATTCTAACCCCCTCATCATTTCAGCAACTTGCACTTCCCCTCACTTTGGTAGACTCAATATTTATTGAAGCTTTAATAATATACACAATACCTTCTAAAATTATTTTCTTGACAAGTTTAAAATTCTCATACATTCTCCTCCACTCTTTACGTGCGTGTATTTGAAATATTTATCATTTCTTCGCTTGGCTGATTAGTTGTGTCACATTATGTATTATAATCTGTTATTTCTATTCTTGACATATTTTTAAAAGTTATACTCACTATATAAACGCAATATATATATATATATATGAACGAATATCTATAATATTATTTAATAATTCATTATTCATTATTATTAAATAAGTCATCGCCATTACCTGTTTTTTTTCTTCTTGTTCCTGTTTCATTCTATGTGATCGTATTATTGAAGTCTTCTGATTTTAACGTGTGTTGTTTACCACTCAGAACAGTTTCGTATGTTATATAATGTGCCATTATTCAACGTATAAATCCAAGACATTAATATTGAAATGATGAAAAAACCATTTCTTTTTATGTTTAAGAATATTAAATTTGTTCAAGATAAGAAACAAATAATATATTGCTAAACTTATGCATGATATAGTTGAATCCAATTTTTTTGTTATTTTTAAAGACGTGTAACAGTTATTTTGTACTAACGCCCACACCTCATTCAACTTGCACTTAATAAAAAATAGACTGAAATAAACATATCTTTTTTCTTCTTCGATCATATATTTAACAAAGTTGGAGATGTACCCTAATAGTTGTTTATTACGCTGTCACTTACGGCAGATTACAAGAGAAACGTTTAGTGTAACAGTTTTACTTGGGCTCATTTATAACTTATTTAACTAATTTTACCAACTCATAAACTATAATGCCTGTTAACGTTTTGCAAAATATTTATATGCGGAATTAATATAATTGTTAGTACAGATAATTACTGTCTTAAACTTTTTCCTCTATTTTTTCGATCATAGAGTGTACTGTTAGTAAATTATATTATTTTCTTATGTTAGCTAAGTTACACTCTGTACTCCATGAAATAATTCAAGATAATTCGTAATTTCATGATAGCTAAAAACAGCAGTATAACAAAAAAGGTCTATATTTCACGAAGTAACCACTAAATTGAAGATTAAACTACGGAGAACAGAAAAAAAAAGAGTTTCTACTGAAAACTAAATACCATGTGTTGGATCGTAAAGAATTTTCATGATCAGATGCTATTTAACTGACCTTGAAGTATCTATTTTTCATGATCAGATGTTATTTTACTGACCTTGAAGTATCTATTTTTCATGATCAGATGCTATTTTACTGACCTTGAAGTATCTATTTTTCATGATCAGATGCTATTTTACTGACCTTGAAGTATCTATTTTTCATAATCAAATGGTATTTTACTGACCTTGAAGTATCTATTTTTCATGATCAGATGCTATTTTACTTACCTTGAAGCACCTGTTTTTCATGATCAAATGCTATTTTACTGACTTTGAAGCATCAATTTTTCATGATCAAATGCTATTTTAGTGACGTTGAGCATCTATTTTTCATGATTAAAAGCTATTTTACTGACGTTGAAGCATCTATTTTTCATGATTAAAAGCTATTTTACTGACGTTGAAGCATCTATTTTTCATGATTAAAAGCTATTTTACTGACGTTGAAGCATCTATTTTTCATGATTAAAAGCTATTTTACTGACGTTGAAGCATCTACTTTTCCTTGACAAAAGACTTTAAGTGAAGTACTGTATTTTTTATTTTGGTGTGTTTTCTTTGCTGTGTAAGTTTATCTTTCGAAGGGTGATAATTCTTCTCGTCAAAAGATCTATTGTGTCGCTGATTATTGACGATTTTTGAAAGGCGTTAGGATTATCTTCGTATCAAGGCACAGTCGACATTCTTCAGGAGATGGATGTTGTATTTGATTGGAGATCGATTGGACTCGAATTGTACAATCTAAGAGCAACTGAATCTGAACACAAGAAGAACATATCCAGTCAATAAACCAAATCTACACAGTTTTCAAAGCAGTTAACTAAGCACATTAATTGCTAATTTTACTTCTTTCAGCACTATTATGTATTTAAATATATATATATATTATCAGCTTTATTGATATAATTCTGATGATAAATAATTTTCTAAGGACTTTATTCTGAAATATGGTTGCTTTCACATCTTGCTGACACGGCTTATTGCATTTAGAGTTAGGGTTTCAATTAAACTGTTTCAGAACCCTGCACTTGAAAAAAATATGAGTTTAAGTAATGTACAAGAGACGAAATCTGCACTTATATAATAACATAATTTAACATATCACTTGTTAGTACACCTGTAAGTAAACATAAATGCATATACATTACTTATTTATTTATGTTTCACAAAAATAAAATTGTAATACCTTATACATCTGTAATTAAACATAAATAAGTATAAATTACTTATTTATTTATGTTTCAGAAAAATAAAATTGTAATATCTTATACATCTGTAAGTAAACATAAATACATGTAAATTACTTATTTATTTATGTTTCGGAAAAATAAAATTTTAATACCTTATACACCTGTAGATAAACATAAATAGGTAAGTAATGTATATGTATTTATTCCGTAATTTATTTTCTAATTAGACTTTAACTCTAGAAGTGGGTAAACAGCTGCGCCTTCTACATACAGTGTCAAGATCCCCTGACGGAATTATAAGTGTTAAACATGGATTTAATCGTAAAATTAGGTTTCTTAGCTTTTGAATATATTTATGTTAAATTATTTATAGATAAGTTGTATTAGTTTGTATTATTGAAAATATCATATTTAACTTGTTTGTCCATAAATATATTTAGAGTAAAGCAGTTTTTTTATGAATAAAATCACACATAAAATTTGTTCTCCTATTTCACCGTGAACCTAATCAGATGGTCGATAAGGTTTGTATATTTTACTTCTGTGTTAAATATATTCTAATCTCATTCCTATCTTGCTGTAAAATCGTATATGACAATAAGGTGTTAATTTTCAATCATAAGAACATAAACTCACTCCTTCCTATCCACTTACGTTTATCAAATAAATATTTCAAAGGTTTAATAGCCAGTGAGTAGTATGGACCAATACAGTGATGTGGTAACTAGGTTATTAACTTATATTTCTTTATATATTTCTCATTTATTACATTTAACAGCGTATACAATAAACCAGTTACACGAGTGACCAGATTACAAATAATAGTAATGATGGTAGTCGTATATCTTATGTTGTCAAGGCAACTATCCACTGCTTAAGAGCCTAAAGAATACAACAGAAAGCTTACTTGGGAAAAAATATAGACCTTTCTCGTTTTTAATTTCAGATATATTATACACGTCACCATCATTAGTACTAACATCAGAATTATTTTCTTAGTTATTGTAAGCCATGGTTACTACAGTGTTGATTAATCTTTGTATTGTTAAAAATCTACAAGATATATCAAAAGTCAATCTTTTTGACAGTATATTTCATTTTCTGCAATGTATATTGTTGCCAAACTAAAACTATTATTATTGTCTATTAAGATGAAATATGTGGTGCTTCAGGGGTAAGTCTGAGAGCATGTTACTCTAAATATCGGTAACAAACAAGATCAAAGTACACAGAGCAGAAATATTCCAGGTACATAGAAATAAGAAGTAAAACACAAGTTGTCTTACGGTTGTGTTACATTGTAAATAGGCGACAGGTAATACGTGTTTTTATCATAAACATAAATATTTTTGGTAAGTTACGAACACTTGCCTGTTTCACTTCTTCGTAGAATTCAAGTTAAAACGTGAATTATTGTTATACTTTGTGGTCTTAGGCAAATTGATAGCAAGAGGGTATAATCTTGGCTAAAAGATCCTCCATTGATACAGTGTTAAATATTCTTATGGCAGAAAGTGAGGGACATAATTCAACAAGGAATTGATCCACGGTCGGAAACACAAGCGGCATTGGATGGATTCGAAAGAATTCTTGAACCAAAAAAAGAAACATTCTGCACCAGGCCCAGGTGGTGTTAAAGTTCTAAAATCAAAACTCTCTCCAAGCAAGAGAAAGCAGAACCAGCTGATATAAGCATCTTGTCAGTATTGGAATGGAAAATAGAAAAGGACTTTAGAGATTGTTCCATGGAAATATTGCCAAAACCCTTCAAAGACCATAGTACACTGAATGGATATGGATTAATAGCAATGATAAAGGTATGGGTGAAGTTTGTGTAAAAGTAGCAGTAAAAAGTATTGTGCGATATGTGGATTAGAAAGACTGTCTGCCTTTCAGGTAAGAAAGGTAGGAGCAAAGGATATCATGCCTTTAAATTTCGGAGCAGTAATGCATGCAGATATCACAGCACTGGGCTGTTGGGCTATATGTCTCTTTCTAACGTGACTATATTGGCTCTTTAACAACGAAACTAAATGCAATGGGAGTTTCGGGCATACTCATACGACTGACAATGACTGTGCTGGATATCAGATAGTGTCATTTGAAATTTGGAAAATGGAGGTATGAAATTTGTGAAAGCAGCTCTGCTTTGCTACAAAGATTCCACTGAATCCTGTCTTCTTGATCGAATACACAGTTGGTGTGGTAGCTACAATTGAAAGCTTGATGTAACACCAAATAGATATTTGTTGTAAAGTCGTGTGGTCAAAACGTTTTGTTATAAATTTAATTAAGAAAATAAAAAAACAATCAATCAAACTTTGTATGTCTGCATTTTTACCAAATAGATATTTTGACAGTATAATTGTTCTTAGCATTTTACACACGTTAATGGAAGGGGTAGAAGGGCTGCAAGAAGCCAACAAAAAGACTCTGCTTGTGAACTATAGATAATAAAATGTAGATTCAAACATAACAGTTTTACATAAGACCTTTGCCACTTTTTTTGGGCGTCGTGACGGACAGCAGAGTGTCAATTTCAGGACATAATGCTCATCTGAGAAAGAATTTTCTTAAGAGTCTTACCCTTCTCAAATATACTGCAGCCCAGAAAGTGCAGCAAATGAGCCTCCTCAGTCTGGTTTGAGCATCAATAATGACCAGAATGAAGTAGGTAAGTCACTCTTCTGCATCATCAGCAAAGTCAGGAATAACCAAGTTACTGAGAGTGCAGAATGCAGCCATAAGAATAACTACAGGAGCAGCCAAAAACATTTTATGACACTCTACACATTTTGCCTGGCTTCAACAGCATTATTACAGAACAAAGGATTCTAGTCAGTCAAGCGCTACTCTGAGCAACAACATTCATATATCACCCACTATAGAAGCATCCGAGAGAAAAGGCAGACAAAGATGAAATAAAGCAACTGAAATCGGTCAATACATGGGTTGGTGAGGCCAAGAAATATATTGATGAGAATGTACTTTGGAAAACACATAGAGCATTGAATGGGCAGACAGAATTACGTTGAAAATAATGAAGAGTTGTGACAGGATGTGAAAGTAAATTGGTCAACACATCTGAAATCAAGTAATGGATATACTAGATTGACACTGATCGTAGAAGCAGATGACCCAGTCAGGAAAACGTGATTGAATGGGCAGAATCCATAGTTAAAAATAATCAATATGTGTTTTGGGTGGTCAATGGCAAAACTTAGGCAATCCAGTTCAGTCAGAGCAGAATGTGAAGCTTATAAAAATGCACTTATCTAATTTAACACCAAGGGCAAAGATCATCACAAAATCATACTTCTGATGGACTCCCTAAACTTCAACATAAAATCAGAGACAAGTTTACCTAAAAAACTTGTGCAAAATCTTGAAAAACTCGAAGGTTAAGCTGATAATGACCTATATTACAGTCCTTAGATGTCTTTATAAGATTTCAAAATGATGCAATTGAACTGAAGGAATACGAAAAAGATGGAGCAGAGATCAACATGAAGACTGGGAAAATGGATATAAGTTTGTAAATGGAGAGCACAAAAGCATTGGAGGGGGACAGATGCTACTTAAATCAAATTGAATTGGATATTCTAACTAGAAGAACTTTGATGAGGCTATTGGAGGTTGGAGAGCCTGTCTTGGCCCGGTTCTAGCCTCCACAAATATAAAGTAGCAGTAGTAGAAGTAATATTAAATTCACCTTATTTTCTAAAAGTGGTTGCTTCCTTATGGTCAGATGCTCAAAATTAGTGATGATGCAAAGTTACCTGTAATGATAGGTATAAGATTGTAAGAAGCGTTGTGTTTATCTAATTTATTATATGGGGTATTTAATTTTTAAGGAAATAATTAGTGTAGGTATAAAAGTGTTCCTTGGTGCTAGTTAAGTTTGGGTTTAAGTTTTTGTATTAGAAAAGCTTCTTTACTTTTTCATTTGTTTACATTTGTTTCTTTGCCAAACATGTTAGATTTTATCTATGGTTATACTGCGTTTATTTCGGATACAGCACTGTGCAAAAGTGTTAGAACAAAGTCAAAAAGTAGATTTCAGGCTACTTTCAAAGAACAAAGGAAGATAAATCACAGGTGAAACATCAAAATTTTATTAATCTTTATATTTAGTACAACAGAAACTCAGTGGAAGTGCTTGAGTTCAGCAACCAGTTAATATTTTGTGTGTCCCCATTTTGCTTTGATAACTGCAGACAGTCTTTCAGGCAGTGTTGCAACATATTTTACTCCAAATGATTCTAATACACTCCCATAAAGTTTCTTTGGAAGAAACTTCTGATTAGTCAAGTTGTTGATCTATGAAATCTCAGATCTGCTCAATTCTAATGAGATCGGGGCTCTTTGGGAGCCATTGCATCATTTGAATGACTCCAGCAGCTTCTTTCTTAGCTAATTAATTTCTGCATAGGTTGGATGAATGTTTGGGGTCATCATCTTTTTGGTAATAGAATCCTTTACCAATAATATGCAAACCACTGGGTACTCCATCATGGATCAGTATCTGATGGTACTTGCGCTGGTCCATTATTCCATCTATTTTGCAAATATCTCCTGTCGCCTCAGCAGAAAAACACCTCCAAACCATCACACTGTTTTCCCATGCTACATGGTAGGTTCTATACATTGAGGTAAGTATCTTTCATCTTTCTTCTGCTGCATGTACAACCTACGCTTTGAACCAAATATTTCAAACTTGGACTCATCCGTCCATAACACTCTTTTTTAATCATCAACAGTCCATTTTTTGTTCATTTTAGCAAATATCATTCTCTTGACAATATTTAGAGATCAAAGTAAAGATTTGTTAATTGCTACACGAACAAATATTTTATTATTGTTAAGGCTTTTGTAGATACTGTAGATCTGGACACTTTTCTTTCATTTGATACATGGTCGTTTACCTCATGCTTCAGATCAGTGGCAGTCTTCCTTCTCTCCCAAAGGCTGCATAAATGAAAATACTTAACATCAGTATAATTGAAATTAGGTGTTCTGTCTCACCCTTTCCTATTTTCAAATTTACCCGTCTTCGTCTCACGATCTAGGGTGTACTTGATATTGTTTGGGGAACATTTCAAGTCTGCAGCAATTTGTCGGAAAGTTCAACCAGCATCACGTAAGGCTTTTATACGAACTCTCTGCTCTTCTGGAAATTCTCCACGCTTTTTGTACTGTGGCATGACAAGAAAAGTTAATATATAATGTTAAACACTATTTTTATCAAGGTTTATTTGTGGAGTGCTATTAAATTGATTTCTTATACCGGTACCATATGCAAGCTTCTTGCTAGCTTCTTTCTATATAGTTAAGACACTGCATGGGGTACCATGACAGTTATTTCAGACCCTAAATTTATTAGTATGTTCATTCAAGAAGTTATTTTTGGTGTTGATTGAATCTATTTTCCATTTTTCGGCTTGTTTCACTGACATAGAAATCATTGCAGTTGTTAGATTGTATTTTATAAATAATGTTAGTATTGTGTTTATTAGGGTAGTTTTTATGTAGTATAGGTTTTAAATTGCTTCCTGATTTTCTAATAAATTTAACGTTTACTTAAATGTTATGTTTAATTATAAGTTTGTTCCAAATATTAGTTATTTTGTCGCTGATATCAGTGTAGTTTTTTGTTGTCAGTTGTTTCATTGACTTTTGGATTCTTGGTTGGCTGTTCATTGCATTGTCGGTTGTGGGTTCTGTGGTTTATTGTTTCGGCTGTTATTAGGTTTTCTAGTATGTTGAGTTTTATTTCGTTTCATGTGCCGAGTTCCAGGGAAATATGAGTGATTTTTCTGTGGATTTTTGTTTTAAATTGTGTACCTGTTTTTGCGATACTGAGTTTCAGAAATGTTAGTTGTTTATATTTTTTGTATTCAATGGTGTACTTAAAATTTGGGTGTATGGAGTTAAAGTGGTTGAAAATGCTAGGTGCCTGTTCTGTAGATGTGAATCCGGGAAATTTATCGTCTGCATATCTGTATCTGTACACTGGTGTGTGTGTGTGAAGCTGAACTGGTAGTTTGAGATTGAATCTGTGTCATAAAAATGTTGGCTAGGATTAGTGACACTGGATTACCCGTACTTAAACCATTTATTTGTATGTAGTTTTAGTTGTCAAATATAAAATTAGATTTTGAGGTGGTAACTTCTAAAACAGTTGCTAATTGTTTGCTGGAGATGTGTAATGAGTAGTTTGGGGTCTTTGATGTAAAGTTCTAAAGCTATGTTACAGGCTTTTGTGGTGGGAACTTCAGTAAAGAGAGAGAGAGACTACCTCGAAACTAACCATTAAGGATTTATGGTTTAATTGGTTCAGCTTAGTTCTAAAGTTAAAAGGATATTTGAAAAAGGATCCTACAGATATTACATATTGGGAAAATGCCACGTTATATAGTGATTTATAGATCGACATTACGAGTCTTAGTGGACAGTCGTGTTTGATCACGTGTCACGCGGGATGACAGTAATGTAGGTATAAGATAGTAGGGACGTTGTATATGTATATTATATTATATATGGTAGTTAACATGGTAACGTTTGCTTTCTTTATATGTACATCTTAAGTAAAATGATTAATAATGTTTCTGACTTTTTTTACTTTTGTATTTTTATTATTATAATAGAACAACAAAAAATAACTTCAAGTGGGTTATGTTTGTATCATTTCCCTAGGGTATCTAAAACAGTGTGATTTGACCATTTTGATCAGGAGGTGTTGGATATCCTTGGCTTGCAAATGATGAAAAGATCGTTTGACAACAGTAATCTTAACAGCTATTAAACTAAATAATACTTACTGATAAAATAGTAATGAATAATATTTAAAACTAAAAATTAAATGTTTAAAAAACATATACAATCACTGAATACCAAATCAGCTAAATCTTTGTTATTATGACGTCCAGAATATTACGATTTAGATATCTGTCCGTATAAACTTGCTTAGCACTTTCCCTGTTTTGGTCATTTAATGTGTTTTTATAGATACGCTTACTTGACTACTTACCAAAGTAGATATGAGTGAAGCGTACTCTTCTAGTATTGTCAAACAAAAATATAAAGAATTAATAAAAACTGTTGTATCTATCTAAGTTTACATTTGCTCTTGAGTGCAAGTAACTTAACCTATCATCATTCACATGTGCTCAGAGCGTCACATGTTGTTCTTATGAAATTCGCTTCTAATCAAATACGTTGAACCAAAACAACCAGTTCTTGTTGCCACGTTCACGAGCATCAGCTGCATCTCAAATAAATGTAACTGTGTATCACATATGATACTCAAGCGCTTTAGTATTATGTCCTGTGGATGCCACGTGATGTACAGGACAGGAATAGGGTTAACGCTTTATGTTTTCCTTTAAACAATGAATAAAACTTGTTTAATTCAATTATAACACGTCTTTTTCAATCATGCGCTTAGGTTTTTTTCAAAAATTATAAGCAAGGGTCTTTTATTTAATATAAACAGCAATTTAATGTCAAATGTTTTTGAAAATGTTTTTAATTACTTTAAAACATTGATTTGTGGACAAATATTTTGCTGACTTCTTTAAGCAAATGTTTTACTAGTATTTTGTATTGAAAATTTGAATGATTCTTAGAACTGAAAATAAGTTATGTGATATGTGATGTACTAGGCATTGGTCT